ATTTTTAAGGTATTTTCTAAAAAATATGGACTTAGATGAAATATATTGTGCTCCTGTCATATATTTACAATTCCACTCTGTTCTGCATTATTTTGATGGAGTTGCATTTATTAGACAAATACTACAGTAGATATATTTGTATTGTTACTTGCTACCGTCTCGCTGTAACTGTCTGTCCCTTTATCCTTTGTGCAATGTGAAGAACCAAAGAACTGTTCTTTCAGATACAGATGATGAAGAGGTTTTATCTTCTGTTTTATCAAACGATGTAAGAAATGAAAGCATTCCTTGTCTCAGCAGCAGATTCTGACATATTTCAGGAAGCCATACCTCCTCATTCAGTACAAACATGTAGGATGGAGAACACGGGACTGGCATCTGAAGGAGAAAAGCTGTTGACGGATGAACAACAACAGAAGAAGGCTAATGCAGAAGTAACACAGCACTTTATTTTACATCCGTTTAAAAGCTAATTTGATTATTTACACACTGTGGTTCTCTGTGAGTGTTTTTCCAGAAATCCAAAACATTATGCTTGTTTGAGTTCACATGACTTGAACATGAACATAAAGCCACCCTGCGGCTACGTATACAGCCACAGATTCACACAAACAGCATGGAGGTGTCCGCAGGTCACTTCAACTCAACCAAACCTCGTGCATTCTGCTTTCCTGTGTGCATCTGACTCCAAATGTGACCAATCTGAGTGTTTTATTTTATTATCTGGTGCTCTCATGCTCTCTGTTGCATTAATCATGCAAGCATAGTTTTATAACATTGTCAACTTTACAACATATCATGCAAGCATGCTGCTGCAAAGCATCTTTTCTTTTGAAGTAAATTATTATGCTTAAAACTATAGTGCTCAGTTGTTGGTTGTTTGCAACATTAGATTAATAAGTGTTAGATATTTTGTGCCTTTGCTTTAACTAACGCCTGCCCTGCTCACCCAATCTGTCGCTGTTGTATGGAGCCTGAATGACAATTAAATAAACTGTACAGCAAACAAACGCAGAGAGAAGATGGTCATCGTGCTGTCACACTTCCTCTAATGTATTTTCTCATGACACCTAAATGCATCAAGCATATACAAAAGACCCAATCCACAAAAAACAAATAGATGCAGACTCAACCAGAAGAGTGAATGGCCACTGTTTCCATGGTGATGCTTGGAAACAGTGGATATCTCACATTTGATGCAAGCAAGTAACATGCTGTCATTTGTGGTGACGGAGTCATAAAACAGTGCAGACGCTCACAGGCTTTATATTCTGTTCACATGTTCATTCGTCATTTTCCCTACCTGTGGCTTCAGTCTGCTGAACGATGAATCATTACAGAAATGATGTAAGCAGAAAACTTGATTTTGGGGCCTTTCATTCATCTTCTTTTGTTTCTCACAGAGTCAGGCCCACATTGCAGCAAATAGGCAGAGAGGAGCCTGACCACAGTGTAAGTCTGAAACTAAGATGCTGTTGCTATGATGTGTGTGTTCACTTCAGCTACTGACTCTCGTGGAGAGAGAGCGTGTGAAATATGAATGGAATAGGAAAAAGCGGTGCGTGAAAGAGTGAGCAGTGCAGCAGAGCTGTCAGCCTGATCACAACTGACATCCCTAACGATGGCCGTGGCATTCTTCTCCCTCGTCTCATGTCCAACTTCAGGCTAAACATCTCTTTAACTCAGACCATCATTAAAAAAAACTGTCTGTGAGCTCTTCTTTGATCGTTTGAGAGGGTGAAGCATTCCTGAGGCAAGAAGGCTGCCATGATAGTCTGCCAATGAGAAATTAATTTCAACAAGCATCCTCATGCTTGGGAGTTTTGCAAAAAGTGACGAAGCAAAAGTGATTGTTGGGATGAGGATGTGTTCATTTCTGTGATTTTAGAAATATCATCTCGGCCATTAGGCAATGTCTGGGTTAACGGGAAAAGCCCAGACATACAGCAAAGCATTCGGTCAGATGGTGTCACTGGATCCTGAGGAACAAACTTAGTAAGAAACAGAGTCTGGAGGCTTTAAGGAAACCATACAGTCAGGGGTGTGAGGGATTTGTTGCAGGCTGACACTTAATGCTGCATTGTAATGGGATAAAAATGTCAAACTGACAAATCGTCAAACGTCTTTCACTACTGAAGGAGTGAGAAACCGAAGAAAAAGATTAGATGGATGAAAAAAGAGGGAGTGTGGTTTTACACAGTGAGGAGTGAAGGGTTAATTAATATTCATCACACAAACACACAAACAGGCAGACGTAGAAAATACTGAGAAATCTGTGGAATTGAGCCTCTCATCACAGTGGATTCACCAAAACAAGCCACAGTCTATTAAAATGGTTTAAGCAATTTTCTCCATCGTATAAATGTCAACTATGTCTTTATTGCTTTTTATATCTTGTCTTCTTTTCGCCTGAACTGCACTTTATAATTATTTTCTGCACTCTTGCATCCATGCAAATAAACGTGTCAGCGCACAAGGGTAGACATATTGGTTAGAATAAATATAGCTTTCAAAGGCACAAGATTTAATGCTATTAAATAATCATTTTTCTTTTGGCACAATAAAACATCACACAAGAGGTTAAAGCCAAATACAGACACATCATTTAATTCTGAGATTCTTCCCTTCTTCTTCTTCTTCTTCAGGGAATAACTCAGCTCTGCTCAGATCTCACTGGTCTGTATGCTGCCCGTTTCTGTGTCTGGGGGGAAATGTTCGTTTTGTAAAGTTTCATACTTTGTACCAGTCGACTTTGTAGGATATTATCTTTGTGGTCTCCTGTTGTTCGACGCATGTAGCGCTATTAAAAACTTTGTCACATTGAACTTGTAAATATCATCTGAGAAGCTATAGAGGAAAAGAAATGTCTATGATGGGTAATTCTGAAGCAATTTTACTGATTGATGCTTAATAAAAGACAATAATCCAGAGTTTGGTCCAGTGAGCTTCACTTTATTCACTGTGATGTGTTTTTATAAAAACACTGAACACATGTTCAACAGGAACAAGACACAGAGAGGAAACTGGTGAGATTGTGCAGTGACAGAGTTTCTGTTATATGAATGGAGACTGTATACTTTAGACAACAGCACCATCTAGTGTTCGACATTAGACAAACAACTTTTTAAATAAATATCACAGATAACTTGTGTTGATTATATTTCAGTTTCTTAAACTTTGACTTCTTTAAATTCAATTCAATTGTATATGTATTCTCATGGCACTTAAGGTGAAGGTCTTGCAATATTATAGTGAAAACCTACAGTTCCAACAATGAGTGGCACTTCTCAGAACCAGACTGTGGGTGGAGAGCAATGGAGGAGAGAGGAGAGGTGGAGGGAAAAGGGGACAGAGAAGAGAGAGAGCGGGAGAGGGGGGGGGGACTAGCTGGTTGTTGACAACAATAATAGCAGTGATATGTATTAATGTAACGATGATATCAATGGTAACAATAATGCAATAGCACAAAGTTGAGTGTGTGACTAATCTAAAATGCTAGAGCACATACCTCTGCCAAGAACAAAGTTAATGTTATAAATACACTGGGGGAGGGGCAGAGGTGTCCTATAAATAAATTAAAAAATAAGAGGTTTCAAAAATCTATTTGGGAATCCCAGTTTTTCTTCAAGCCGACCACCATGTTTTAATTTCTATGAGATACAAACTCTCTGCAGCAGAAACCGTCACTAAACAGCAGATCACAGGGACACTTGTGTTTTAAAACATCGATATCAAATATTTCAGAGGAGAAAACACTTTTCATGGATAAGGGATTTATGCACACGTGCTAAGCAGTTTAACAACTTAACATTTTACACAGATTTAGATAAGCCACCTCACATCTTGGATCAGAAATAACTTTCTACAAAAGATGAAAGGAATGTCCAGGTCATACATGACCAGTCTTAGATAAAATACTTGTGTGAAAGGAGTTTGTTGGTGGTCAGTTGTGAGGAGGTAAAGATCTTATGTAAAAAAAAAAAAAAGGCTCAGAGTAAAAGTAATGAGTACATTTTTACAGTAGAGAATATTGTCCATTTCAAATAAACTCTGAGTGGACAAAGACAAAACGTTCAAACATGCTGGCACCATCACGTTTTAGGATGTAAACAAAAATCTTCTTCCAGTAAAACTACTAAATTCAATTAGACCTACATTTTAATACTTTATTCTGAGGCCCATTTAGCTGTTTAGACAGTAAACAAACACTGAAGTCTGTGGAAACAAAATAGAAGAAACACTTCACAGTTTCAGAGTAATTAAGAGTCAGAGTCCCAGAAGAATTCAGAGACATTTATAGTTTTTACTGAGTTTTTAGTTTTAGTTATTTTAGATTCTGTACACTTTTGACTTCACTGCATGTTCATATGTTCAACTACATGCTCGCTCATGTAAAAGTAAGAATTAGAAATCAGTCAGTGGTCGTGAAGAGATCCCTTCCCGAAGCATTTCCAATGTAATTAAAAAATCCCCATCCGTGTTGTAAAAACTGGAGTTTGTAAAGTGAAGTGTGTGTTTTAAAAATATTTGTAAGAGGGATTATGCACCTGGCTGTCCAGAAACAGATGCTGGGTCTTCTGGGAGGAGGCATCAGAACATTTGAGATGAACTGGCACATTTACTTATAAAGTTCTAATGTGGCCTGCTCTGGTTATCACACACGCATGTGCTGGAAAATAAACGGTAAGAATCTCTCTCGTGTTGATATATAACTGTTTTGGCTCTGAACGTGTTCCTTTAATCCCCTCCTCACTTTAACACATGCAGCCTCTGTTATGAATGCGCAGGGGTTATTAAGTCAGATCCTCAGTCATCAGACAAAACGCCCTTGGATTGGTGGCCTCCATCAGTCTGCCTCCTAATCCGGCACACACGTTATATAAAATGGTCATCCAATCCCGCGTCACACTGAGAGACAACTGCTCCAAAGCTTGGCAGTGTGCGTGTGTGGGCATTTCACTTCTCCAGGGCGCAGAGGGACGAGACAGGACCGCAGCATCATGATCTTCATAGTGGACCTGCTGCTGATGCTCATCGACCTGACCTACTCCATCCTGGCTGCGGTCATCCAGACCTTCCTCCGGCCGAGGCTCAAGAGCATCGATGGGGAGCTGTGTCTCATAACAGGGGCCGGGGGCGCGCTGGGTCGCCTGTTTGCCGTGGAGTTCGCCAAAGAGGGCGCGCACCTGGTACTGTGGGACTGCAACACGGCCGCCAACGAGCAGACCGCCGAGCTGGCACGGGAAGTGGGAGTCGAGGTGCACACGTACACGGTGGATCTGTCCAAGCGCCAGAGCATCTACGAGGCGGCGGACAGGGTGAGGGCGGAGGTCGGGGATGTGTCGATCCTGGTGAACAACGCGGGCGTGGTGGCCGGGAGGAGGCTGCTGGACTGTCCCGACGAGATCCTGGAGAGGACCCTGCTGGTCAACTGCCACGCGCTCTTCTGGGTGAGACTTTACGCACGCATCTTTTTACGCACAAACATGTTTCCAAACCGTGAAACTCCACCTGAGTGACACGGAGCGGATGTGATCTAGCAGTCTGACATGGATTACATAACATCCATTCACTGTGTTCCCCCCCCGCCGGCTCTGGACACTGTGCGCACTGATGCGTGAAGGGATCAGAGAGAGCAGACTGTTCCACTGTAATTGTGTGTGTGCTTGTCCTTTCCATTAAGATGTAGTACAAGGTCGTCTGTGTGTCCGCACAGACCAGTGAGGACATTTATGGACATTTCACATTCCTGTTAGGGGGTTAAGACTTGCTGTTTATGGTTACAGTCAGGTTTAGGTTTAGTTGTGATGGTTAAAGTTAGTGCATCATGCCACTGAGTGTCCTCACTAAGATAGAAGTACAATAATACATGTTTTTGTGACACCACCAGGTACAGTAGACCTCATTGGGACCATAGCCTGGTGCTAATGAGGTATTTATGTGGTTAGGTCAAGATTAGGCTAAGGCAAGAATTGATCATTTTTAGGGTTAGGTCTAAGGTTTTGGGTAGGCTGACATCAATGGCTGGAATTCAGTGTGTCCTAGGAATGAAGCTGTGCAAACCTGCGTGTTTGAGGGGGAGGGGGGGCATGCATGCACTCATCCACAGAATAATAGAATCCCATGCACGCGAGTCCACCAGTAAAGACAGCATGTGATTCTGCACTTGATCCTCTTACAGCTCTGGGTCTCATGCCTGTACAATAAAGGTATAAGCTCATTAGCATGAAATATAAGGATATGACAGACATACATACAGTGGGTGGGTGGGCTTTCCATTTTTGTGAATGTGCCTTTTTTACACTCTAATGTACTTAATGGGAAGACACTGGAACCACAACCTGTGATGCTGTGGAAAAAATTAGCAGATCATCTTTTAATTCCACATACCCCCCATGATGTGCTCTTTGTACAGTGTTTCAGTGCTGGAATACCACATGGCTCCAGCTTTGGAATATAAGGTTAAACCTCACATGAGCACAGCAAAACTATGTTTTAAGCTTATACTTTTACTGTGAAAAAAGTTCAGTATCATGCCCAAGGACTCCTAAGAATAAAACTGGAGGTGCTGAGGATTAAACCACCAACTTCCAGGTTGGTGGTTCAACCCTCTTTGCCTCTTGAGCCACAGCCCCAAAAACAAAAAGCCCTGAAAATTAAGATATTTGGCTCATACAGCACCAGGTTAACATCATCATTGAAAGGATGTACAATGTAGGACAGAGGGCCTTTATGGATTATTCAAGTCATCTTTTTCTATTAAATGTATTTATATAATCTCTCAACAGATGACAAAGGCCTTCCTGCCCCAGATGAAAGCAAAGAACCATGGACACATTGTTACTATCGCCAGTGCTCTTGGACTCTTCAGCACAGCATGTGTGGAGGTAAAAATCCAATTACATCCCCAGCTGAACAGACATGTTAGAACAATCCATTTAAAGGTACTTACTGGTAACTAACAAATCATTTCAATGGATCATCTACTGGGCTGTACTCTTTCCTGCAGGATTACTGTGCGAGTAAATTTGGAGCTGTAGGTTTCCATGAATCACTGACACACGAGCTGCTCGCAGAAGAACTGGACGGCATCAAAACGACTTTAGTCTGCCCTTACATTGTAGACACAGGGATGTTCGCAGGCTGCGAGATCAGGTGAGAATCCACATTTGGTTTGGTAACACTAAAGAAAGAAAAATGGATGCTATACTCTTGTACTTGTTTGGGATCTGACAGGAAGGAGCTCAGGAGTCTGATTCCACCTCTGCAACCGCTCTACACCGTGCAGCAATCCATGAAGGCCATTTTAGCCGAACAGCAAATGATCTGCATCCCTCGCATCATGTACATCCCGTTCCTCACACGAGCGTACGTATTTCACAGGAGTCCTGTTGAGTTAACATTTTTGGAAAATGCTAGAAATAAAATGGCTCTTTGTTTTTCCATCTCTAGGTTGCTACCGTGGGAGGCAAATGTGGCAACATATCGCTTCATGGGAGGAGACAAATGTATGCTGCCCTTCATCAAGAACGTTGAAATGAAGACGTCTAACGGCCACATAAAATCCTCCTGACTGTTTTATAACTTTGTTGACTAATGGACCAATTGAAGCACCAAAGGCTCAAACTATACATTCCTAATATATGAATTTGTTATCTGAAGGGAGAGCGTAATATCTACACTGCAATCTCAGGTCACATGGAAACTTGATTCATAGCAATATTTCACTGAGTGGCTCCAGTTACAAATAACCAAGTTGTTGATGTCTACATTGGAGGTAAGATACACGATCCAATATAAATCCCAATTACTATAAACATACTGAAGAGACCTCAACAGAACACAATTTATACAAGTGCCTCTTTTTATTCACATTAATAACAAACAGTGCAGAAACAAAGACTGGACGAACAAATCTACAGGAAACATGCAACAGAAAAATATTGAGCATTGTGTTTGAGCCAGACTGGATTCTCCAGAACCATAAAAAGGAAATCAAACATACAAAACTGAAATCTCTCCAATTAGAATTATCTGATGTTTGTCATTCCACAATAGTGATGACATTTACCTCCAATGCTGCTGCTGCTGCTGCTGTTGTTGAAATAAACTGACAACTGTATCAGAACTTGATATTCTTGTTAAGCTTTTGCTACACAGCAACACCAAGGACCTAAACTGTATTTCAGTGATTTCAACATTTGTTCACTTCTTTTTAAAAACCCTTAAAAAAAAGCTTCAATCTGAGAACAACCCTGATTTCAGGCAAAATGATTATTCTTCTGACAAATCCATCGTTTAACTGTCAAGTCAAAACCAAAATCTGTAAAAGACTTAAAGTTCAGCTGAAGCAGGTCTGTTGTGTGAGCAGAGGCCACTGTGGCTACTACTGCAGCGTATTGTGGTCTCCTCATCACATCTGTTTCAAAGCAACTGCACAGTGGCTGCCTGTAAATAGCCCTGCAGGTACTGGAGGGCTTCTGCATTCAGACTGGTGCTCAGCATTGAAGGAACCTGCACCACAATAAATGGAGACAAGAAGAAAACAATCATTGATTGTTTTCAACAACAGTCAATGAGGCAATCATGTTAAGAGTCATTTTATTCCAAACAAAACTAAACCAAGCCATGGTGACTTATGCTGTTAAAAACATTGGGTACTGCTTTTAAAGATCATTTCCTGCGTGGTCAAACCTACCCTTCCTGGACAGGCAGTAGAAAGCTTGTGGAGCGACTGTGCCAGCAGGATCTTGGGATTTCCTACAGCATCTCCAATCGGGTCGTGCTCCTTCTTCCCAGCAAAGGCGAGCTGTGAGAATGCTGTCTGGTACCCTGGTGTGTCCTCGATGTCGATGAAGTGCTCATCATCTGGGATGCTGTCGTCTTCTGGTAACTCAAACAGACCAATGAGGGCTTGGAGCAGAGGCGTCCTGAACAGACACACGGAAATCCAAATGATTACCATTAGTGTGACTCGGTACAACAAATTAAACAGTCTGCATCATGATATGTATTCTAAGAGTGTTTTCTGACTCCACCACATTAAGATTGTTTACTTGCCCATTTACGAGTTAGTAACTGGATTCTACTGGAAAAGGTTCAGATATGGTAAAAAAAACTGGTCATTGATTATTAAATCTCTACCCTAATGTTCATGAATCCAATTATAACAGATTCAAATGTGACGGAATATAAAAACAGTGCTGGATGTGTAGTTGCTTTAACCATTTTCATTTATCCACCTTCTTACCAGATTTTAGTGTACTCTGTGTCCATCATTGCAGGACACTCTGTAAGGATTTTGGTGATGCCAACAGCACAGATCTTCTTCTCAACTGATCCAGAAACCTTCTGTACCTCTGGAATAATGATTTTCTCCAGCACCATACCAAACATTCTGCAATACAACAAAGAAAACAGGATTTCTACATTTTTCTACAGGTCTGGGGTCTGTACATTAAACATAAAAAGGAGATCTGCGAACTTTTGTGAGGCAATCAAGGAATAAGTATAATTATCATTCTGAATAAATTCTATTAGAAAAATGAGACACAGATTAATTAAATTATACCATAAATAACATATTAATATTAATCGTATTACATTAACAGGACATTTTGGATAAATAACTATAATTACTATTAACGACCAATATCATTTAATAATCAATAGGAATTCATCAATCATATCATGAAAATCTGACAGAAAGTCTTATTTCTAGAAAATGGTTCTTTAAGTCACAGTGAGTAAGTCAGGTGTAAATAGTTGGAGAGGGCCATTCATTTCAAAAGGGACAGTGTCAGCTAATGAATATTTTGAGGTTAATATAACTCGTGATGCACAAACCCACTACATATCTGCAGTCGGTCATCAGTGTGTTTTCTGTCAACATCTAGTGGTTTACATTGAAAATACACGTACTTTGGCTGGATGCTGTCAAAAATCTCCTGAAGTGCAATTGCTCCGTATTTGACACAATACAAGTTGATGAACACCAAGAAACCTGGGAGGAAAGAAAAATGAGAAAACTTTAACATCTAAGACTATTATCTTCAGACAGTGACAGGGGCTCATGTGCTTGCTCACTGACACCTTGCAACAGATGAATTAATGAGGACAGAACTTACTCTTGATGAACTTGGTGGTTTTGGAGCTTTGTAGCCTCTGGAAGAGCAAAATGAAGATCTGCTTCCTGTACTGAATGATTGATTCTCTGGCAGGAGGAAAACATAATGTGAGTAGTGAACAAAACTTGTCGCAACATTAACCTATGAATTTATATAGGTAATATTTCATTACAGATAGAACAATTATATTGGACTTACGGGGACATGTGCTCTATGATGCTGTTGAGGAGGTAAAAACCTTGATGGTCATTGGCCTTAGAGGCAATAAGCTTTTGGAAAACTCCAAGCAAACCAGGCTGAGAAAGAAGAATTGGATTACAGTATGAATACTCATGTTACAGTGAAGAAAATAAATCCATGTATGTTAAGAATGAGAGCAGCAAAGATACAATCAGTGTTCTCAACTGCACACAACACTGCTATCACTTACTATTTTATCTGCAGCCGAGCTAGCAATACTGGCACCTCCTTTCTCCAGATAAGCCTGAAGCAGGCGCACCAGAGGGGGGATGTTTCCTGTGCGCTCCCAAAGCACAGGCTGCAACAGGTGAGGGAATAAAGCCATGTAGGAGGAGGGGATAGAGTTTGAGTGCATCTCTAAGAGGAGAGACATCACCTGGAACACGTATGGAAGAAACTCTGTAACAGAGGACACAAGGAGAATGAGTTGAGTTGCCTCCATTGTCCATCATCTGCATAAAGATAAAAATCTCTTTCATAGCTCAATGACGCACCCTGGACATCATTCTGAAGGATTTCAGTGAAGACCGGGAAGAGAGCCTCCTCAAAGCTGCCGACAGTAGTGGGGTTGGCTTTGCAGGTGATGCGGACAGACAGGCACAGGGACTCAAACAGGTAGTGGTTAAAGTGAGGCTTGCTGGGATTCTGAAAACAGGCAACACAGATTAGAATTCTTTACACATGATTCCCCTAAGTAGGCCTCCTGGTAAAATCTACCTGTAACTATGAATAATAACGTATAAATTACCTTGCTGACTGATAGGAGCTTATGAGTAAGCTGACCAATCAGAGTGGGAATGTAAGGAACAATGGCCTCCTGCAGCAGGGAGAAGCTGCGCATGATGGCTTTAAAAAAATATAGAAAATAAAGATATGATGAGACTACTTAAAATAACTGTGGAATTGACCCGACGCTGAAAACGAACGTGAAGCATTCAGATAAAGGAGGAAAGTCCGGTTTACCTTTCATGATGTATTCATTTTCTGCAGAACCAGGAAGAGACAGTGCCTTGAACAAGTTGTTGAGCAATTGTTCAGTAAAAGGTGCCATCTCTGCTGGAGTGATACTGAAAAACATGAAAAACAAAGAATGACTGACTCAAGATAATGTGTCAGAAGCTACACAGATGGATTCATGGGTCGACTGAGAACGTTTCCACAATGTTTCATCTCATTTGTCCACAAAACTTGTTATGACATTGGTAAAAACCTTGTGGCAATGCTATACCAGAGTAAAAAGTTATTAAATAGGCAAAATTTTGGTTTGGGTAATTACTTTATACATACTAGTAAATTTTAGATATTTAGTAATAAGCTTTCTTACAATATGATCTTTATTTACAGTGTGAAACACTATGGGTGAATATTATTATCTACCATCACTTATGTGAGTTGCTGCTGCAGTTACAATTGTTTTTAAATATGAATAAACTGGGGAGGGGGTTTCAATCTCAACTTATTTTGAATATTTCAAATTATGCGCAGTGACGCACAATAACTACAATATGAATGTGTGTCACTCACTGTGTGGTGTTGTTGGGGCCTCTCATTGTGAACAGTCTCTCCAAAGCATGAGCAGCATATGTGTGCTCCACTGTGCTCTCTGCCTGCAGGTGAGTTATCAGCAGGGGAACGGCATGCAGCAGCTGGTCCTTCGGAAGCTGACGAACAGAGGAAACTGAGTATGATGTATTCATTTGTTATGATTTAACTACCTGTGGAGGAAGTGAGAGTTCATACCTGGCTTCTGAAGATCATGACGTACTTAATGGCATCCGCCTTCAGCACTGGGAACTCATTAACTACAGGGACAGTAGAAGTGCTTGGGGTTAGTTAATGTGATTCACAAATAAAATAATTAAAATGTGATCACAAAGCCATGTCAGCTGCCTTACAGGGTTATTTATCAAGTCAAAGCTAAAAGTTAGCCAGCTATTTTAACATGCAAGAGACCTGAAGCTACTCCATTGAGGCCTAAAGAGTTTTCTTACCATTGGAAGATTTTAAGTCTGTGAGGATGTGATTCACGAAGAACTCAGTCAGATTCACCAACTCGTTGGCTTGTGTTATTCCATGCTAAAGATTATTAAAAAAAAAAAAAAAAGACAGTTGAGCACTGATAGATAATATTCAGTTCTTGAATGTCCACCAATGATTTAACAGTATTTATCTCTCACTTACCTTCTGTGTCTGGGCTTTAGATGCCAGCGATGTGACCAAATAGATGGCAGCATCTTTGTGTTTCCAGTTCTCTCCAGGGTTCTTTGCATACTCTGTTAGCATAGAGTTCACATAGCCAGAGAAGATAGCTGTGACTGGGCCCTCGAAAAACTTACAAAGGCCTCTCACCAAGTCACATGCCGCCCTCCGACGAGTGTCGATGTCTGAGGAAGGATGAGATAATGATTACTGTCTGCATGATTACCAGTGTATATCAAAAAATTTCAGATGCCGTTGTTCTAATTTACCAACCAAGTGATTAATTAGCTATGGATATGTACTTTGAATTGTTTTCTAGTGTTCCAAAGAGTCAAACACACACCTTCCATCAGAGTTACATATGTCGTGTGTTCATAACATTATTATAAGATTAATTTGCATTTGAAGGGAAAATAATCAATAACACAAATCTTTACCGGATCCTTCCAGGTCCCTTCGGATATATTCCTCAGAGTTGTCTTCAAAGGCCTCTTCATCTGCACCTAATTGGACATTACAGATAATCTGGTCAGTTTTAAACAGTACATAATAACATGTCAGGCAGAGCCCTGATTAAGTCTGTACTGATAACATTTACAGGTGCAATCTGATGACTCAACAAAGCATTTACTTACTCCTGAACTCCATGTTGGGCACGATGACCTTTTCGCAAATGCTAGTGAGTGTATTCTGGTCCTCAAATAGATGTTTGTAGTGTGGCCTTTCACAGACTGAAGCCAAGAACTGGATAGCATTGCTCACAAGCTGCAACAAAGACGAGGTGTATTGTTAAAACAGGGAAAGTGGACTTGAAAATAAAAACACAGAAACAGGCTCCAGTGCTCTCACCAGGTCATACTTGACTTCCTGGCCGGTAGACACTAAAAGGTTCCAGATGGCAGTGACAAAGCGGGGAAGATAAGGCTGGAACTCTTCATCGTACTTCTGAGCGTAAAGAGCAGCGTTGTCGCAGATCTGAGACTTCAGAAGCTCCAGGAGACCTGCTTCCTCCTCATCCTGGAGAGGTGTCACAACAGAGACACACATTTGGATTAAAAATTGTTTATAGAATGGCAGTTAGTATTGCATGAGTAGAAAAGAAATACAACTTACATCAGTTTGTAAAAGTTTATTATCCAAAGTCAGTAAGCCGTGGAAATTGGTCATCCAGGTTTCCATGTTGTCTTCAAAAAACTCTGGAAGGTCCTAAATAATAATGTAGGGTACAGTCCT